TCAAATTTTTTTTATAATAATATGTATAATATCCAGGCTTATGTTTCTATAAAACGCATTAATAAATTCATGAATACAGAAGAGTTAGATCCAAATAATGTCCAGCATGATCCATCTGAATGTAAGTTACTCTTAATTTTGATTATATGAGAATATTATATATTGAATATGTATTTTATATTAATACAATATAGCACTTGCATTATTAATTGAGAACGGCACCTTTGCATGGGACGTGGAAAATACTGATAAACCTACATTAAAAAATATAAATCTTCAAGTAGAACAGGGCCAATTGATAGCTGTTGTTGGTACCGTGGGATCGGGTAAAAGTTCTCTTTTATCAGCTCTTCTTGGAGAAATGGACAAAATAAGTGGCAGAGTTAATACAAAAGTAAATATTTTATTACTTAAATGACAAAAGTTTTTAGTATAAAGGATATCATTATTGTTTTTATTATTTATTTTTTATAAAAATAGGGTTCTATCGCATATGTATCTCAACAACCATGGATTCAAAATGCATCATTACAAGATAATGTTTTATTTGGGAAGCCACTGAACAAAAATTCTTATAATCGTGTAATTGAAGCATGTGCATTAAATCCAGACTTAAAAATACTACCTGCAGGTGACCAAACTGAAATTGGAGAAAAAGGAATAAATTTATCTGGTGGGCAGAAACAACGAGTAGCATTGGCAAGAGCAGTTTACAATGATTCTGATGTTTATTTTTTGGATGATCCATTGAGTGCAGTAGATTCACATGTTGGAAAACACATATTTGAAAATGTAGTCGGCGCTAACAGTCTGCTTAAGAAGAAAACAAGAATACTTGTCACACATGGTATCACTTATTTACCAGAAGTTGATAACATCATTGTTCTTAAAGATGGCGAAATAACAGAAGTTGGAACTTACAAACAACTTCTAGAGAAAAGGGGAGCCTTTTCTGAGTTTCTAGTGCAACATCTTCAAGAAGGTATATATCATTTCCACCATTTTCCTAATTTCTTTATTCAGGTTCTCTATTAATTTTTAATTATATTTTTCATGGATCTAAGTTGGAAATCGTAAGTCAGTGAAAAAGTAATTACGATTCCTTTTCCTACTTCAATTTATGTGATTGTCCAGAAAATGGTTTATATTGCATTTGGCTTGTGATATTAGAGTATCAAGGATGTTAGTATTTTTTGCAATTTGCTACTATAAAAATTTATCAGCCAGCTTATAGTATGAAGTAAACCTCCACTACAACCTTCTTTTTGTACTTCTTGTAGTATACCGTTTCTTTTTATTCGAAAGAAAAAAGTATGCATGTAGAATTTTTCTTTATACTGCATGTTAAATTTGAACCTGACTTACTGAAATGAAATAACTAGTATTATAATTTTTGTGTTATTTATTTTTAAAAATTGAAATTAACAGCTATGATTTGCTGAATGCATTTAAAATTTAGTTATTTCAATGTAAAATGTATCCTATTATTTTCTAATCTCATAATAATTCATTTTTTAATATGTTACATCATTTTATATTTTTTGTGATAAATTTAAAACAGTACAAGCTGATGATGAATCAGAAGCAGATTTACATGAAATTAAACAACAATTGGAATCTACAATGGGATCAAGTGAATTGCAACAGAAATTAACAAGAGGTAAATCAAGAGTGTCAGAAAGTCAAAGTGAATCTGGTTCTATAGCAGAGAAAAGATCCTTAAATGGTTCATTGAAAAGGTAAATTTATTTTGATATTATTTATGCTATTTGCATAGTAGTATTTCTATTTGAATATACTTTTTAATAACTTTTTAGACAGTATTCTACAGATAGTCAGCAATCTGGTACTTATAAAAATAATAATAACGTGAAAGAAACGAAATTAACACATTCAAAGTCGGCAGAAAAGTTAATAGAAGTGGAAAAAGTTGAAATTGGAAGTGTAAGTTGCGTTTCATCTTATTTTGTAAAAAAATTGTTGAAAAGATTTTTAATTCTATGAATTGCTTCTGTTTAAAAGGTTAAATGGCAGGTCTATTCCCATTACTTCAAATCCATTGGTTGGTTTTTATCAATAGCAACTATTATAATGAATGCCATTTTTCAAGGATTTAGTATTGGTTCAAATACTTGGCTCAGTGTGTGGTCAAATGGTAATTTAACAGATAACAACGATACAATTAATAAAGCAAAGCAAGATATGTATCTTGGCGTTTATGGTGGACTTGGTCTTGGACAAGGTATGTTCCTAAAAATATATAAATATTTTATAACGCTTTATTTACAACGATAGAGTCTATTAGCGTTCCTTTTAGAATTAGTGTCTTATAAAGAACAATTATATGAGGTAAGCTTACCTTTCCGAAATTTATTATTACCCAAAATGCAGCGACTGTTTTACTTATTATAACTTTTGAAAAGCATGTTCCTTCACAGATTACACTGTTTTGGGGCAACTAAAATCTTTTAGTTAATTTTATATAATAAAGAAATTTGTACAAGTCTGTAACTAATTATTTGTATGTTAACATTACAAAATTCTTCTCAAATATGTTGTTTGAAATGTTGAGTACATATTAATTAAAGCTAAAGTATTAACAAAATCTCACTGGTGTTTTAAGATGCTAGTGCGAGTGCGGTTTGCTGTGTCTAAGGAACATTTATAAACAAAATAAAGCTTTGTAGAGATATATGTTTAAATGCAATCATTTCAATTACTTTTACTGTTTAAAATTTATTTTTATTAAGCATGTGTTTTCTTATTTTGTTCACTTACTAATTCATATGTGTATGTTTAAGCTCATGCAATATTTATGTATAATACTGAAGCATGAAGTAGCAAGATACAAAGCTTTTTATCACCTATCCATATTCAAAACATAGAGGTTTTGTAATACATTTTATATTTCTAAAGTTTCATATCTATTATAATTAAAGTACTTCTACAAATACAAATAAATCATTATATCTTCATATGGTCATAATAAAATTAAGTCACCATTAACAATATTAACATTAACATTGCATATCATTCTACTACTATAGTGAGAAAATAATTAATTATGTGAAAATGTAAATTTAAATTACTTTCAACAATATACATTATATGTGTTCAAAGAAATGAATTTGTACAATTAACACTGTTATTTTCATATTATAAACATTTGTGAAATTCTGTTTGACACCACTGTTTGTTTTAGATTAAAGTCAATATTTTAAACTTAATGCAAAGACTTTAAAGATATTAAAAATATAATAAATAGCTTCCTTTTTTTTTTTAATGGAATAGTAGTAATAATAATATGCATGATTATTGATTAATTTATGTTGCCCAGATAAGTTTGTTAGAATAAATAAACTTAGATAACTTCAGTATGAAGATTTACTTATAATCTATTAATGATTTATATCATAATAATCTGTATTCTTTTATTATAAATGCACCTCAATACATGTGTGACTGCAGTAAGGAACTTGCACGTGGTGTTAGACAGATGGTGAGCAATAATGAAGATCAATGTTGTTGCTTAATAAATTTAATTTCTTCCCTGACTTGTAATATGTTTAAAATGCAAAATATTGCAAGAACTGATGCAGTCCCTGATATATAATTGTCAAATTTAATGATATACCAAAGTTATCACCAATCGTTGTAGGCTTGACAGTGTTTGGAGG